GTAATTTTATTAGAAAGAATAAGTCTTTCGCTTTCAAATGCTGTTCCGTGGAGTTTCTGTTTCACACTGGGTGCCGAGATAAAAATGGAAAACTAAGACTATGTAAACTTTGACCATTTTAAGTTAGGTCACCAAAAATCTGGAATGCTGCAGAAAAATCTGAAATCGTCAGTACATATGTTTTTTGGCCTACTCTTCGCAATTTTGAAAGTTTGTGCTGTTTGGACGTCTCTGTGAGAAGTTACGATTTTCGCGAAAATTCACAAATTAATTGATTTTGGCGTTTTCCATGGTAAACTCGATATTCATAACTTCTCACGGAGACATTCAAACAGCACAAACTCTTCACGATTGCAAAGAGTAAACCAAAAAACTTATGTACTGACGATTTCAGATTTTTCTGCAGCATTCTGGATTTTTGGTGACCTAACTTAAAATGGTCAAAGTTAACGAGGTCTTAGTTTTCCATTTTTATCTCTGCACTCTGTGCGATACAGAAGGTCCGCAAAATAGCGCTTGAAAGCGGAAGACCTGTTCTTTTTAAAACAATTACAAGCAAGCAAATCCGTTGAAATGTGGCGAAGTTACAAATTTTTGAAAATGAAACGACAGAACTTTTGCACCCACCTAATATTATTATGTATAAAAAAGTAGCATCATAGCATAGTTTAGAAAATCAACATCAAACAAAATCAACAAGTTATTTTCAAAAAATCAAAACATAAGCTCCTAGAGACATCCAATCACTACCAATCACCATATTCCCGTATCAAATAGAGAAGGTCATAAAACAAAGACCAGAAATAAATTCGAATTTTAGTAGACGTTTTAGCAGTTTTAGCAACCAAAAATCGAAAAATCACTTTTTGAGTATTTCTCTTGGTCTTACATCTATGCCCTCAATGATTTTAGCTCAAACATACTTTGAAAGCGCAAGATTTACTCTTCCTATTATCTAGCAAATCAGAAGATTTCATTGAAGCTAGAGAAAGTAACAAACTTGAGCAATTTCGTAACTTATAGACTTCTTCAGAAATTGTTCGAATTATTCTTAAGGAAGAGGTACTCCTTTCTTCCGCCTCAATCCTCCAAAAAATTTTCGGCAGCTTTCATGCTGAAGACCTCGCAAAGTAATTTGGGAAAACTTTAAATGACGTAGCCAGCACCAAAAATTTTTGTTCTGCTCATCCCCTTCCCCTCTCTTCCCTTTCCTCTGCTGCCAAAAGAAAGAATTGCCATTTGGTAATGAATGCATGATCTTGTGCAGAATTCTACATACTAAACATTCTAATAATTCGTTTTCTGAATTTTCCTGTTTGCTTTATCAGAAACCATTTTCACACAAGGAAATCAAATGAATTTTTACTCAAAGAAGATTTCTCCCAGATAAATAATCTATCCTTCTTCTTTTCATATATGCCGGATGCTCCATCTTCTCATTGTCAAAAAGAACAATCCAGATTTATGTGAGAACATCGGTGAAATATTCTAAGTCTAATCTTCATGTGTTTCCAAGCAATGAAAGTATTGACTTTCAAATAAGTGCACTGAAATTGAAAAGGTCACAGATAGTCATTCTAGGGTGTTGGAGATGGAAAAGGTAATGCTAATAAGGTTTCAAACAGATTCTGCTGGAAGTGGGAATTGTTTTGCAAAAGATGATTGTTTTGTAGACCACTCATAGGACAACTCAATTCATCGGAACTTTGGCGAGACAAGCGAGATTTGCAGCGGTTCCCCAGGATTTTGTTTACAATTGTAAAACTGAAACCTTCAAAAAAGGTACTTCCTCAAGATCTTTACGTTGAACTAGTTGAAAACGGGAATCTCCGCAGAACTTTTTGAAGCGCTGCGGAAGTTCCGAAAAATGCCAGCAGTTCCGCGGCACTTTGACCTACCATTACTTCCGCAGCTTTTCTATTTATTTTGTAATATGTCATTCGTAGTGCAGAGGATAGTGAGTGAGTCTCGCAGTCAACAAAGCAAGGTTCATTCTCGCTTAGGTGATTTCTTTTGCTGTGCTCCGCATTCTTCGGAAGTTCCTCAGCATCTCATTAGGGAGCCTTCGCAGCACGTTTGCGGAACTTCCGCAGGTCATCTGACGGAACTTCCCCAAAAGTTCTACGGATGTAGCGGTCAGTTTTTGAGTACTACCGATCCCCAAAATCCTGGCTATCCTTATAAACTGTGTTCATAATCCTCGGCTTTCAGGAGAATGCTACTTTCTAAGAGTATAATAGACCCCATACATGTCTCTATTCGTAACAGATTACACAACGCACAATTTACGCGAACAAATTTGGGCTGCAAGTTGTTTACGAGGTTGTCCTCGTGCGTGGCGGGTGCTGAGCAGCGTTTAGATCTCTATTTGCTTCAGGGCTCGGACAAGTTTATGTTTTTGGAATCCACGCTTGCTAGACTTTTTCTTTTCATTGTACACATCATTGTCTACATTTTAGATGTATGAAGCCTAAGGCTAAGGGCATACCTCACGCGATTACAGTCTCCCGATGTGGCAATATGCCAGATACCTTCAAATTCAATACTGGCAGACCCCAAATGCACAGTATATTTAGTTTTGGTAAGTTGATAAAATGGCCTATATTTCGTACATCTAGAAACCCCTTACGATGAGTTATGCACAATTGAAATATTCCAGATCGCGGCGTGACTGAAATCGCGTGAAGTATGCCCTTAGCCTAAAACTTCAAAAAGCTCAAAATCACTTTTTTAAGAATAGTCCGTTCCAGCCACTATGGGATTTTCATTAGCAAAGCGTTCCTATTTTTCGAATCTCAGTGACAAAAAGTTTCTTGAGCAGATTAAGGGATGCAAACGCAAAAAATCCTGTGACCTAAATGACTGCATTAATCCTAATTGGGCATATTTTATTCTTTACAATGTAACTAAATTTCATCCAAAGGGCTTCGCTCAATAAAACATAATTATAAAGCGCATCCTTTGGTGTTCACTCTGCGTATTTTATGTCTTCCAAGCAATGGTATTGATTTCCGAATGGCTACTCTGCAATCTAGAAAACTAAAATTAGCCGTCATCCTAGTGAGAAAAAACGTTGGGTAGAAAAGTTTTATAGCAAGGTTTCCAAGACTATCCCGGAAAACATTTGATCATCGCTTTCAAAAATTTTAAGCTTTTTTTCCATAAATTGCCAAAGGCGCCAAGTATCTGCACAGTCAACTAGTAGTCGCCTAATACACACTTTCGATAACTTAAATCCCAATATTAAAAAGTTCCCCAGTCGTCTTTTCCAGCATCTCATATGAAATGCATGTGGCCTGCTCAACTTAACTTTTACTTAACGCGAGACTACTTTTCAAATGCTTTAAACAATTAGTTGGTTGAGAACAAATAGCTTTCAATATGTACGGAACAGGGCTTTTTTATGGGAATTATTTCGTGCCTTCTTAGACCTATTTATTATTGTGCCTGCTAGTAGGTATCACTCAGCTTTTGAATACCAGTCAGAATTGTTTCACAGAAAGGTTTTCTATCGACTACAAAAGCTTGTAGTTTCGACTCTTCTTTATAAAAATCCTGGATCGACTTCCTTCCCAAGAAAAAATACCTGTGAAGACTCAGAATACAAGTCATTCCACTCAAATGAGGGAACAAGTTGAAATAAATTAGAGTTTTTGAGGACTCTCCCGCGATTATACGATGTGCAGAATCTCATTAGGTCTTCTTCCTAGATTTCTGCATTAGGGATGACATCACTCACTTGTCTCGAAAACTTTGATGAGGACTTCAATAACATTTTATTTCAATGATCAAAGACATTTCTCAAATTTGCTAAACTCAAAATAGGAAAATTTCAGAATAGATTAAATTGCTACAAAATGACAATTTTTTTCGAGAAATTTTGCCATAATTTTCTTCTACAAATATCCTGTGCTTACCCGAACATCCAAGTAAGTCAGCGCCCATCACTGTAAATGGATTCCGAATGCCCTCTTCTCCAAAATTACCCCAGTGCTGCTCGTAATGGCAGTGGCTCTGCCCGGCACATAGCCACGAGTCTCTTGGGAGTTTTGTTCTAGGGGCGGATTTGTTGAAACACACTATCTTCTATGCCGCTTTTCAGCAAAGTTTTTATTCTCTCTGCAATCTGTCATTTCACGAGAATTGCGTTAGAAACGAAGAATTCCACGAAAAATTCCCATTCTCGCCTTCTTTCTCTAGGAAATTCCCATTCATGCTTCCTTCTGTCTTCGAAAATTTGTACGTTTATTTCGGCAATCTTTCATTTCATGAGAACTGCGTTAAGAACACATATCCCCGTTTCTGATTTCTCTTTTCTCTGAAAAATCTCCATTTTTGCTCTCTTTCTTTAAGAAATTCCTGTTTCTGTTTCCCTTTTTCCCCGAGAATGATTTCCATGTCCACTTTCCTTGAAAAACTCCCATGGTGGCTTTCCTTCGGAAACTCCCTTGATTTCTTCTAAGAATTCCCGTTTATGCTACCCTCTCTCTCTCTGAAAAATTGCTTTATTCCTCTTCCACTGAATTCCGTTTTTGCTTTCATCGTTCTCTAAAAAACTCCCGTTTTATTTTCTTTCTCCAACTAATTTCCATTGTTTCTTCTCTTCTTCCTTTGAGAAATTCCCGCTTCTGTTTTATTGTTTTCTTGGAAGTCCTGTTCATGCTCTCCATCTTGAGAAATTCCCATTTTCGCTCTCCTTTTTTTCGAACATATGTTTCTCCCTTCCTCTTTCTCCAAAAAATCTTCCCTTTGTGCTTTCCTTTCTCTTTATAGATCTGATTTCTGCTCTCCTCTTTCTCCACTGAAGTCTCGTTCTTGTTTTCCCGTTGTGAAAAATTTCCGTTCTTGCTTCCCAATAAAAAAATGTCAAGCAAATTGTTCTCGCTATCACATTATCTCAGTTATTGGCCTGATCAGTATGCTGTTGATCAACTGCCTTATTGCTTGCATGTGACTGCCATACGCCTTTTTATGCCCATACCGTATTCCTAGACCCATACAGTACAAAGCAATTACAGTATGGGAGTATGTGGGGCATGGTATCTGGCTGAATGCACTGAAATTACTTGCTGCGAATCATATCGATTTCGGCTGTACATATTATTATTCAGGTAAAAAACTACTTAATTATGCCGTTAAGGAAACTCCTGCAAATACCCAATGAATTTCAGTGTTCTTTGTGTCTTAGCTGCACTACTCGTTGGAGCCGCATGGTTATTATTTGAATTCCGTCCATCATACAGGTATAATTATTCACTACTTGACTTCCATTTCTATTTTTTTGCATTTCCTGTCTCGCTAAATCACGGCAACTGCAGACTGGATAGATTAAAGCATTCCAGCTGAAATGGCGTGCACTCACTTTTTTGTCCTTTTGATTGAGGCTGACGCTTTCCTAATCTTCTCTTGCCAATCAGACGCTGTCAGATGCATTGTATGTCTCACAAATAGTGATTGAATCTTGGAATAATAGCAAATTTCCGTCTTTATGATGCTAAGCTAGTTATTTTACTCAAGCCCAAACGAAAGAGAGTGGCAGATACCACTGTAGGTCCATGTGCCCAAGGAGTAGGCGAAAGGAAGCAAAATTGCCAGGGTGGGGGTGTCCACGAATTTTTTGAAGCGTATCATGAATTATGGGATGGTCATAGTCCCTTTAATTTACTTTTTCTCGTTCGTTTTAGTGGTCAACTCTAAAAAGAGGTTATTTCGGGAATCACCGTTATTTGGCAATATACAGATTCTTGTTCCGTTTATTCGCTGATTTTTAATTCCCGTTCAATTTAACCCATTGACGACGATGTGGAAAGCCGATGGCCCACGCATTTTTTGCTGCCAGGGACGATTGGACCACCGGTGGCCTACACTTCTTCCATAGTCATATTATTTGTAGGTCTAGTATTTTTTCCACATAGTGATATTTTTCTAGTTTATTACACTCTGGGACCTGCAGGATCCGTCGAAGAAAAACAGCCTATAGTTGTTTACAAAAACCTTGTACACCAAAAGTGTTGTGCAAAATCGCTTCGTCCCGCAGCGCCGCCACGCAAAATTATGCTTCGTCGTCAATGGGTCAACTATAATACCGAGCAGGTTATTCCGAATACGGTGTCAAATAAAATATAATAAAAATATCCTGTTTCCGTACCAACGACAGTAGCGCTGTAGATTTTTTTTCGTAAAATAGTATTAGAAGTTTGAAAAAATTTTTTTATGGTACTTACGAATTTTTTCGCAGCTTACTATTTTGAGATTTTCAAATAAAAAGGACATGGTGGCAGGCCAGAAGGTTTTTTTCACAATGTTTGGAACGTCCCGTTTGGCTATTCTTAAACCCTGTCATTGTCTCTCACTTGTAGGCTACGGCTTGAGTTTGTACAAGCTAATTCAAACTTTATAAAATTCATGAAATTCTTTTATTTTTACCAAGAAATCTAATTATATTTTACATATGGACCCACTTTGCTCCTCTCTCCCTCGTTTCTCACTCCCACTCCTCTTCGGTCCTCTGGCTAGACGATCTTTAAAGCCCGTATGCACGTACATCCCCGCTGAAGAGGGGAGGGGATCTGAGAGGGGATGCGTCATATCTCGCTACCCTATGTATCTTTCTTCTTCCTTCTCTATCTTGCTTATAAAGGCTCTCACTCATGCCCGCGCATAACGGATGCCAGGTTACTCCAGATTGGTTTTTTGCTATTTTGTGTGGTTTCCTGGCGATGTGAATTTACTGCGGCACTGCCAAGCATTTTCCGACAGGAGAAATAGAATCTGAAAATTGTAATTCTAAAAAGATATCCAGAGTGGCGAGATATGACACATCCCTCTCAGATCCCATCCCCTCTCCAGCGGGGATGTGCGTGCATACGGGCCTAAAGAGGAAGAATAGTTGAGATATCAGGCCTGAGGACGTAAGTGACCATTGCTCGACTCGATATTGATATAGTTTGGCAAGAGACGGTGTTTTTCGTACCGAATTTTTTTGGGATTTTGCGAACTTAAGTTACAGCGCTCGAAATAGATATACTCGGTTTCTGTTCAACTCTTGCTGCTCGTCTTTTGCGGCAGCGCCTTTGTGCCGTCTCGCACTTCAATAGCCGAATCTGCTATTTCAAGAGTAAACAACCACACAAATCACTAACTTGCTGCGCAAGGACTAACCGTTTTTTAGAGCGCTCACTCTCGCTTCAAATTGAATTTCGAAAAGTATAGCCTTCAACTTGATCATTCAAAGGTTCGAAAGGGATTATCTTTTGGGATGAGGTGCCATGCTTGCAAGAGACATTGAAAGGCTCTGGAATTAGTCTTCACATCGTGAAGCAGGAACGCTTTGAAAGAAGGCTTTATTTAGATGTGGCGCTTATGTGAATTCACTGCAAGGTGTATCTTTTGATGAAAAACCAAAAGTGGTTGAAGAATTTTCATCGATGTAATAGTGAGGCGAATATTCCTTCCTTGCATTTGATGTCTTGTTCATTGTGGTTTTGTTGAAACTTTCACAAACAACAAGTACGGCGGAAATACTAGCAATGGATGAATAAACCTTTTTGCGAAAAAAGATGCTAATAATATGTGAATCTCTTTGCTAGTAATCTGTGAATCTCTATGACGCATTTTATCAAAGTAAGTACCCTTTCGAAGCTAATGGAGCAAATAAATAAGCTTTGAGTATTCCAACGTGAGTGTCAAAGTCTCCGCGGCAGGACCGTCGCGGCCGCCTCGCTCGGGTCTTGCACGGCGTTTCCGCATGTATTGTCTGAGCATTTCGCCAAACTGCGATAACGCTCCATTTGGTACTCGCCGTCTCCTCATTAGTTTTTTTTTGAAATTTTTCTTCACCATCTAGGCTCCTATCCCTTAGAGATAATTTTTGGGCTTCTTTTTGCCCGACCTTTAGCTCTATTGATGTCTGCTATACATATTTTGCACTTATTTCGATAGTTGCTTGTTTTGCCAATTTGGGACTGCACTTTCGCTGAGTGCTCATAGTCTCCTAAACTCTTTCTCCTCGTTTTCTCCCATTCTTTCGACTTTTATCAAGATGTCCATGCAAGACTGTCTCTATATTAGACGGCTTTCTGCAGAGTTTACGGGATTTGAGTCATATCGTGGTTTCTTAAAGGCAGAACGTTTCTTCTTACCGCTGATGGCAGCAAGGCAAGCCTAGTACGGATAAAAAACAGTTTCCGCTTACCATGACTGCAGGTTTTGCATCTTATGGTCACCACACCATTCGATCCATCATCCGGATAAAACTCGCTTAAAGGCAGAGCTAGGACTACTGGTAGTAAATGAGCTGTTCTATAGGACAAGAAACGAAACATAAGAAAATACGAGAAAAGGTGGTGAGAATGGAGAGAACGGCGAGCATCGAGCCGCGCATCGATCGAAGCATGGTAAAATGCCCAGACGATACGTTCGCAAACGCGGCGCAAGGGGCGGCTGCGACAACCCAACCGCTGCGGCTTTGACACTCACATTGCGGCACCCTGTAGATAAGTGGTTTTCTGATTACAGCTCCATTTCGAAATCCAATTTTTCATAGAGTTATGGCACATGAGAAATATACATTGCAAAACCTGCATCATTTCCGGACAACTTTATGACTGTCACACCTTGTCGAGCGTTCATGTTGGTCAAGGGAGACCTAGCAAACATCAAGAACTTTCCGAAGTAAAGCCAGCCTCGAGAACCCATTAGAGCGAATGACTTGATTGGCATTTTCACCATTCGTGCTCATGCCTTTCAGAGGTCGAGGTTAAACTCTAAGGACACGGGCATGGATCAGATATTCCTTCTAGTCAGTACACTATGTTAATTACGCACTCAGTACAATCAACTTTTTTGATCTTTCCCAAGTTTGGAGGCTAATCCGGTGGCAATTGCTTCGCTCGGAACGGCTGGTATCAGCAGAAACGAAGAATATTTGATTTCAGTTTGTCACTTTTATGTTACGTTTTATGACTTAGTGACAAAGTCCGCCATCTACCCTCCTCTCTTCTCTTCTTGCCGCCAATCTCCTTCAAAAAGAAGTTGTGCCACATCAGCAAGCCGAGCTGCTCTGGTAGAGGCCTATATGTCGATAATACGCCCCACATCGCGCGGACAGCTGGAATTATAATGTCTGTAATCTGCATGGCTGCGTGGTTGCATATGTCCGCGTGGGACCCTTTTGGCGAATGGTCCTGTACTCCAGTTGCTTCTCTGATCACTTGCTATCAATATTCTTGAAAAGCTGTTTTTCTAATTAAGATTTGACAGACTTATTACAATTTTCTGATCTTTTTCAGAAATCGCATTCGTCGCACCGACTCCGAGCAGGCACGCATTGAGATGAAATCCTTCGAGGAGACACGATATTTACGGCGCTTTTCTGAGCTCAAGTAAGTATAGTTGTGTCTTTCCCTAGTAGAAAATTACTTAGCAGACTTAAGAGTGCAAAGACAGAAATGTAGCGGTGCCGTCCAGACTATATCTTTATGTTAGGAGTGCAAAGACAGAAATGCAGCGGTGCCGTCCAGACTGTATCCTTATGTTAGAGCACGTTTCCGTTGCAAGAAAAGGTCTCATGCATTTGCTGCACACTTTTAAGCATCCTTCTGAAGCGTTTCTTTGGCACCTTTGTAACGCTGTTTCTCAAGCAGCGAATGTCTACTAAGTACCAGGTTGTCAAGAAAATATGCCGTTTTTTATTTTCGTGCTGTGGCAACGCAAACAGGCGAACTCCAGGACAGCATAAGGGATGACTTTTGATAGAGCAAAGCAAGCTCTACAAACTGATATTGATGCTTTCGCGCCGAATTGTTCTATGTGAAGTTGAAGTGTGAAAACGAATCTAGAGATCTCCGAATGCCCAAAATCGAAAAAAGTTGATATAGTCTAAACTATCACGAAACTTCTACATCCGTACTATCAACATCAGATCATTATACAGCTGTAATTTTTTTTTTGACTAGAAACCGAGAAATTGAAAATTTTCCTGTTTTCCCAAAGCAATGCTGGGCTGTTTTGAGCAAGTAATTCTACTTAGACAGTCGGAGCGTGCAGCGCGCGCAGTCACACGGTGGCGCAACACCCAGTGTGCGGATGGCGGGACATTGGATGCCGCGCCGCTGGTGCTGGTCCGCGGATGGCTCACTCACTCACTGCACGCTCCAAGTGCCTGAGTACACCACAAGCCTTCATAAGTATAACTGTGAATTGCCTCTTTAAAGCTCTAGTTCTTGAGGGATTTCGATTTTGGCACAAAACCTAGAACAGTTGATTTGTTGACCCGGACTAGACATCACTGCGGAGCACGCGCTGCGAGACGAAACGCTTGTCCCAGTACAAATTCACCATTGCACAAGTCTGCTGTCGCAAAATCCGCAACGTTTGAGCAATCCGTTCGGTCAACGAATTAACAACACATACAAAGGCTTGTACTTTGAAATTACGTAAGTAAGAACGCACTAACATTGCTTTGTGAAAAACACGAAAAATTTCGATTTCTTAGTTAGTAGTCAAGGAAGAAGTACGGCAAACTGTATATAGAATGTCTGCTTCCGACAATAGATGTATGTAAGTGAGAGTTCTGTAGAAACTTTCCAAGCGGGGGTCTCAGTTTTTTCGGCATTCGGACTTTGAGATTTTGATTTTTGACTTCTTGGCGCGGAAGCATCAGTACCATTCAGTAAAGCTTGCTCTGCTAACAAACAGTCCAAACAGCTTGGTTGCGGTGTCATAGCAGAGAAACGACGACATTTTTTCTTGACAATCTAATAGTTAAATTCACTTTCACTCATTTAAGAAAAAAGACGCTACTCAAAAAAGTGTTTCATAGGCCGTACAAAACATGTCTAACTGTGACTCAATTTAACCTTTTGAAAAATCGGTTTTTATGTTTTGTTATGAATGTTTATTTGACTACATCGTAGCTAGTTACGAACAGAACAACAAAGCGTCCTCAACATACTATGCTACATCTACCCCTCGCTAATTTCGAGCTGCAAAGGTTAAGCAGATTTGCGAACGAATCTCTTCACTTCATGGCATACTATAAATTATTGAAGATCAAAAGGTCATTGAGATACTGTGGGAATTTAGTAAAATAGGAAGTGTTTTGATTGAAAAAAGTTGGGATAAAGGCTGTGGTTTTGCAGTTCTGAGGTCATCTAAACTTACATTTGTAGCTAGTAGCTGTCCAAATACGTTATTTTTGTCCAATATGCTTGAGCGGTGATTCCAAAATAAGGGCTAAATCCCGACAACGAACAGAAGCAAAAAAGGTTTTGTTCAATTTAAGCTCAATCAGAGGAACCAGATTTATGGGATGAATGAAATCGAAATCAGGCACACGTGGAATAAATAATTATATGATTCAACCGGATTATTACTGTACAGTTCGTACCCGCCTCTTGATTTGCGGAAATGGTCTCCATAGGCAGCATGTTGCCTAAATCTGATGCGATGGACTCCAGTACCGGGTATCTAAACCAAACTCGCCCAACAGCGTACCCTCATTCATCCATTTTTCTGGCACCAAATAACCAGTTGGAAATTTTTCGAGAGAACAGAATGTAGAGGAGGAGTTTCTGTAAATATGGTTAGCTTGAGCTGATTTAATCGCAATTTCTCACTTGTTGAGGAGATGTTCCCCTGTTACCCTTTTTGTCAAAGTGAGGAATATGACTACAAGCTGCTCTAAAGCCAAAGAGGGGTGTGAAAACTTTCGTCTGTTGACTATGCACAGTCGATTGATGCAAATTTCGACATGTTCTAGCTCTATTCTGTAGGTTTTCTGCAGATCGCATTGCACACGCTTTGCTCCTTGCAGTCTACCCTTTGATTCAACGGGGTTAGCGCGGAAGGCGGGGCTTCGAGGCCTAAAGAGTGATCAGAGAGCACGCTCGCGAGAGAGACGCAGATTGAGTCGCGGGTACAAGCGGTCGTTTTTTCCAGCCTCCAATTCCATTAAATTAAAGGGTAGTGAGATTGATATTGTCAATCCGTACATCCGACGGAGTACTGTGCAGTTAACTTTGCTCGATGCACCGCGTAGTAGTCGCGACGACCGATGTTAAAGGGTGATTTTGCTACTCTCGCGCTACGTTCGTCATGTCCATGTAGTCTACTCTTTTTTCTGCCAAAAATACCTAAAGCTGTCGGTCAAGAATGTGATCAGTATGAATAAGCGGAATCTACACTTCTTTATGGACCTTCTGTGGGTAAGTAGTAAGAGAGGTACGGATGGGGTGTATGCGGTTCCCCTGCGCCATATGCGCTCGATCTAGTCACAAAACCATGCTATGTTGCTGTACAAAGAGGAAAATCGTTGCGTCATTGACAACTATTATACCTTCCCATCTTCTCGTCGTTTGTAGTCTACAAACTCCTCGACTTTACAAAAAAGTCATTCTTGTCAGACGAGCGAAAAAGATTTGTAAGCAAGCTGGATTTTGAGAGGAACCAGTAAGATGGACCACATCATTCTTTGTAAAGTTTCGCGAAAAGATCGAGAGTGCACTCCCTTCATCGCTTTGAAGAAAACCTTTAATCCCATTGAGACTGAAGCTCATTGATGAATCGGGATAGCTCGAGCAATTGAGGTATTCCTACTGAGTACATTGATGTTTGCTCACAGCATTTTCACAGACAGCATCATGCAATTCTACAAAAACTGTTATCTACACGAAAAGGGACCGGAGGATACTATATCATCGGAGCCAGTCAGCGCCGCCGCCATAAAAGCGTTCTTATCCTAGAATGGGTCAACAGGGAGTGGAAGTTGACGGCAACACCAAGTAACAGCCGGCGGAAGAATGCTGGTCATGCTAGTCCACTTTTTTGACGACGTGTGTGGAAACTTGGGTCTGCTGTTGAAACTTAAACAGATGTTTTGGAAATCATGAACATCTTTTATTTTTCGATAAAAACTCTTTATGTTATTTCATGTTTAAAGGGAGAGAAACCTCAGGTACACTAATGCTTTTTATGTACAACAAAAAAGAATGCTTGGGGTATTTGCCTGAGTTGGAAAGTCAATGTGGCGATGGACCTAGCACAAGCATTGTATAGGAGAAAACATGCGGTATGGAGAGCACAGTGTATATAGAACAATCAAAGTATACAATTTTTTTTGGAAAAACTCCCGTGATTATGGCATCATTCCTACGCAGTTAATCTATTGTCAAAAATCAAGACCAAGCAGTTTGCGTTATCACCAGGATCAAGCAAGAGGTGTGGCACACGATCGCTGGTTACGACCCCCTTCTCTTATTGCTGTCTCAATAGAACCCCCTGAACTATATACCTAAAATAGCATTACTTGAAGGCCCTGTTGAACATAACGGGCTGCATATCCATAATTAGCATGAATGTAGACAATGTTTGAGCGAATTCTGAAGTTTCAAGATACTGGGTCACCTAAGTGAAATCGCCATTTTCCGGTGATTAACTTTGTTACAAAGGTGAAGTAACTAGCTGCTCTTGCACTCAAGACAAAGCACTACTCCTTCTTTGGCTACTTCAGAAATCTCGCTCTAAAAGACCTCCTAACTTTGGAATTAGAGCCAACCAAAATCTTGTTTTTCCTAATTTTCGCTTTTAATGGCTGTGATTTCACCAAATATTACTCAGAGCTAAGAAGACGAATCAGACTCAAATCACTCATATGAAATCTACGAGGTCTAGGCTATCGATTCGTATAAATAATTTCCGCTAAAAATGGTTTTTTGATATAATTAATGGGGTGTGGCACCACACCTAAAAAGCTGTGGCTGCCACAGCTTTTTAGGGATGGTGCCATACCCCATTGACTTACCTTCAAACAAATCAAATAGCTACGTTTCATATATCGCTGTTACTGCTTAGCCTTCTTCTTTACATAGCAGAAATTTCATATGAAAGTTTCTTCATAAGCAAGATATAATCGTTTTTCCTTACCTATGCAAATGTAAAATGCTGGTAAAATACTGCGGAAATATTGGGATACGGTGACATGCTAAGTCTGCGCTACTACGTGAATCGCAAGGGAAGGCGACAAGAATGTATATATTCGATAGCCTGAGCCTCGTTCCACATTAAAGTGATTTGAGCCTGATTGGTCTTCTTCAGTCTCAGATATTGAAAACGAAAAATGAACACAAATGAACACGAGGTTTTGGCTTGCTCTTAATTCCTTAATTTGGAGGTCATTTGAAGTAGGATTTCTAATATGAGCAAAGAAATAGTAGTTCTTTGCATTGAGCGCAAAAAAGAGTAGTTAACTTACCAATGAAACAAAGTAACATGTTTGAAAACGACCATCTCTTTCAGGTGGTAATGTATATGAAAACCTCAGAATTCGCTGAAACTTGGATTACAAAACAATGCTCTTATGCTTTGTAGATCTTTAATCATGCTTACTGTACGTATATGATAATGGATCAAACATCAATGTGCTAGTATTTTGCATGGCGGGCCTGTTTGACACTGCTAGCGAATATCATGTTATGCAAACAGCGGACGCCTTGATAACGACTCCCCCCCCCCTCCCTGATTCCTCAGTACGACCCCCAGGTGTGGCATGGCACACCCCGCGCTTGACCTTGACCCTGATAACTTATCACTCATGAGTACACTTGAAGCTGATGGACTGAAACATTTTATTATTAGCATTTTGTATTGTAAAACCATTCGAAAGGGTTGGTAGCGGGCAGCTGAGCCTTGCTTATGTAATATTCCAATGTAGCTTTGATTGTTGGAAGGTATTTCATATTGTTACATAGATCTAGGAGACATCGCTTTTGGCGCTAACGATGGCTCAAACGCTTAAAGGCAGTGGCTCGGCAAATCCTCGACCTGAAGTTTTTTCGCTTACCTGGAGTAACTCAATGCGCTAATTCCAAAAATACACCTTGAAGAGCACGAAAATGTCGAAAATCAGCATTTTCCAAGGGCTCTCATTTTGAATTTGGACGAGTGGACCACTCGTTGTCACGGTTAGAGACGTAGAGTCGTTGCAGGACTTTCACGTTTATGACATTGCGGCATGCCGCCTCTGACGGTGGCAGGGGGACCGCAAGCTCGTCCGAGCGCGTGTAAGAATGGTTTGCGCGCACGGGTTTAGAGGCAGTTTTCTAGGCAGGCACAGCATGTACTGCGCTCAGACCTGCTCTGTTATGATGTTTGGGATACAAGCAACCTTCCACATCAAAATTTCGGGATGTATGGTTTTGCCGAGCCACTGCCTTTAAGCCTACTTCAGATTTTGACAGTTCATTTCGCCAGGAAATTTACCTAGTCAACTTACTGGATATATTCTCAAAGTTACGAGAATGGCTGATTCTTGAAGAATTGTTTTAATCTAGGGCCGTCTAGATTTTGAGTAGACAACAGGGACTCAGGTTCAAATGGGGGGTGGGGGAATATGTTTGCTTTTTGAGAGCTGCTTATATGAACAGCTGCCTCCATGTAAAGATTCGAGTACACTAGTAAGCAATAATTTTGCTATGTGTAAGATTCCTTATTTTGCAAGTAAGTATGGACGGTACCGCTAATTCACTTTATGTGAGAAACGTAAACAGTGAAAACTCATTCAATACTGCAAAGTAAACAGTTTCTTTTCCTAAAAAGCCTTTCGTCCACATGATGCCATAATTTAGTGCCAAAGAAATGGATGGCATCTGATGCATGTGTACGTAGGTTACGCTCTATGTGTTTGTCCACCTATGTGTAGACGTCTACCCAGTCTTTATGTGTACCCTCTAGAAAGTCAGCAGTGGCGTTTGCAAGAATTCATAAAGGTGCGGGAGCGCAAATCAGGGTTGGATAACGGTTGCGTACTGCTTGAGCAGTTTTCGAAAATACAATTTACGTACAATCACCACTAGAACTTTCCTTGAGAGTATTCTTGCATGGATCAATTCCAAATTGCCATGGCCTTTCGCACTATAATAGATGTATGGTGATGTCTCAGTTCAAAAACTGTGCATGAAATTCATTTCTCAACTAAATTACACATTTTCAGTCCTCTTCAAGCACGACGGCATTCATTCGACAATTGAACGTGCCACAATGCCTTCATCACGCATTGCAATGGTCAAGTACAATGCGTACGCGATTCCACATCCTAACAACAGCTACGTACATCTACGAATTTTCATGTAGATCCCCACAAGAACAGTAATTACATATTACAATGCTCCACAGCAACACTTGTCGTCTATGCGTCTACTGCGTCTATCTCTGACTTCTGCCAATCCCGATCGTTTATGATTCTGAGTGCTGTAATCGCATTCTGTACATATGCACAATTTCTGCTTTGTTTGCGTAAATCAGCAACGTTAGCCACATTTTTACGCGTAATCATGTATAGGGTAGATCATGAGTTTGTAAACATTATGGGATGATTGTTAGGTCAATTGTTCTGAATTTTGTATAGATAAAGTAGTTCCGATGATAGAATAGTGTAGTTAAGCTGACGCAAAGTGCTTCTCTCATTAAGTGGTTTAATTTTCAATATGAAGGAGGAAAAGGACTGGCAATAAATAATACGACTTCACTTAGAAGCTTCAAGATCATTAGTCCGTGAGAATTTTTGATGGCGTTAAAGTACAAGGGGATGTACTATGTACTTGTACTTTACCGCCATCAAAAATTATTCACAATTATTCCGTTATTCACAATGAAAATTGATTGTTTATTTTATGATTTAGCTACCGGCCTCAGTTCGGTACAAGTCAAGTCTTCTGACATAACTTACTAATCCGCCCCAACTCTGCATAGCATTTTCCTAACACTGTCTTAACTTCATATGCTAATCATCTGTGCCGTTATTGTGACCAGAATGCTACTTACTTCCCTGCACTAATTCTCAGCACTCCAACTAAAAATGTGATAATAATCGATGAAACCCATCAGAGTGGTCTTTTTCAAAAAAAAAACAACATTATCAGCATCCTCACTAACCCTGCAGTGCCGGTTCACGACGTTCAGTTCAAAACTTGCAAACAATCGATAAAATTAGTGAACATGGGCATTTTTAAATAAATATTACGTCTTTACTAGCATGCTCTATCTTTCTGTACCAATCCACAGGTCTTAGCTCGAAGTTTGCAAATATGTGTGATCAGCATGGTCATCCCTGTACTGATTTACATCTCTCCGGCTTCACAAATGGCTGTTGTATTCGTGATCAGCATACTCATCCCTGTACTGATTTACATCGCTTTGGCTGTATGTTTGTTAAAAAATCGACATCAACTGGTAACCGAAGTGGCCTATAACACCACTCTCTTCAAGGCAGTGTATGTATCAAATAAAGTTGAGTGGGATAGTTTGACGGTCCTTCCACTTGGAACTTACAGAAACAGAAAAGAAGACATTGAGCATCAATAAGATTTTGATTTCAAGCCAGCCCTTTGAAAAAAAGGGAATGGGTCGCGAATTTTTGAAAGTTACTTGCATGATTTGCAAAAATGTGCAAGTGACTGTTTATACTTGTAAATGGAAGTAGTCAAATTAGTCTTTCAAAGAAAATAGTTTTGAGGCGTGGCTGTCGCTAGGCCCCTTTTTGTAAAATTTCTGGCTATGAGCTCTCAAAATTTGAGAAGCATCCCGAAAAATTTTCGGATTTGTGGATAACGTCTTTATTCGAAGAAGATTTTTGTCATTTTTTCTCCCCCTTCCCCCAAAAAATCCTGGGACCACCTCTGTTCATAGGTACTTGATTGGCCTCGTTAAAGGCAGTGGCTCTACAAATCCTCAAAGCATATGTTTCTTCCTTACCTAGGGTAATCCGCTGCGGTGACTTCAAATACCTACCTTGGAAAGTACGAGACTGGTTACGAGCATCTTCCAAGCCATCAGTTTCAAACATGAACGAGTGAATGCAAAGTCCGCCATGGCGAAGGCGCATAATTTGCGGGATCCTTACGCTTTTAGCATTGCGGTATGCTCTCTCTGACGGTTGAAGGGAAATTGCAACGTGGAAGGGGTCAGAGATAGGAGCTGCAATGGACGGAGATGGAAGCGCTACCTTTCGCTTGAGATTTTCGGTGGTTTAGAAGTGGCAGTAGGAGGTCGACGATATGTAGGTTCCGTTATGGGGGTTTGTACTCGGTAACTTTGCTTTACCACGAATCTCATTCTGCCGCCATTACCTTCAGACTCTGCTTCCCCTTTGGTACGGTAATTAAACTACGTGGGTACTTTGAGACAAGAAAGTCAACGGCGAACTACGTGCAGTCTAAACACTGCCTTCAACTTTTTCGCATCTATTATTGCATTTTATCCTCGATGATTACCTCGTGACTGGGAAAAGGGTGTTGCAGGTATGACTCCTATAAAAGCACGTGGATGTAATTTACACAACACCAGTTTAAATTCACATTTTGCATTTTCTTAATCTTTCAGCAAACAAAAATGTTTGCCTTTCTGTAAATGTACGAGAATGAAGTATTGGCTCTTTGTATGAAGTATAGAAAAAATTTGATGAGGGGAGCTTTAGCATGGAAAGCAGCGCTTAAAAGTGTGAAAGGGATTTGATCACGTGTAAGAAAAGCTTCGAGAAGTCCAAACGCGTTGGTCTCGTTTTTGGTAGAAAGTTTGAAGTCGTAAGAAAAGAACAGATTCGACCTATTTCTGGCAGAAACTTTAGAACAGGAAGGCTTCGGAAGTCGAAACAAATAAACAGCACATTATTAGGACTTTTTAAGATTAGCCAATTTAACATCCGGACAATAGTTTCTGAAGGCTTCCGTCATACCTCGTCCAATTTCGACTGACTTCAGTCAGCATCGCTACAATGATTCATGATTCTTCGTAAGCGCACACAATGTAAACAAGTCTTACGCGCTTACATCAACTCATAAGAACCGTCGCCTACACAATTGAGTTCTGCGCGCAACAAATTAGAAACATCTAACCGTCAACGTTAGCGATTTTTCGCAATCGTGCTAGGGGTAGAGGAACGAACACCTCAATTCGGCACCGCCGCCGTGGGCTGCTGGTCCTTCCGTCCTACTGTTGTGCATCGTGTTGAGACCAGTGGTCCATGGAGGCGGTGCCTAATTGAGGTGTTCGTTCCCCCACCCTCGTGCTAGTATAACTGAGACCAAAACGTCGCGAGACAAGCTTTATAACAACATGATGGGGCAGGCGTTTTACAGCGCGTCGCGTGCTGCGCAGTGACGACTAGTGTGCGCTTGATGAATACCTTATACTTTTCAAAACAGAGCGTGGCTTCTGAGAATAGATCAAAGCGGGAAGTATGTAGTGGTAGTGGGAACCCAAAAGAAAGTGTAAAAAATTCTTAGGTAAAAAACTGCTCCACTTTTGGTAGAAAGTTGCATGTATGATTACAAAAGCATGATAACTGTAGTAGAAGGGGTTCGCAAGTCTGCACCGAAAATGCGAAAGGTGGCATGTTGACAATGGCTGCAATAGCCACCATCCGATTTTTGGCATGCAATAAGAACAAGATAGTTTTGAAGTTTTTAGTAAGTTGTTTTAGGTACAATTCACCGTAAGTAAGACGAAGCTTCAATAAATTGTAAACACAAATACACAAACTGCAACCAGAGTAGCGAGAGCTCCCAGCATTCACTATCTGCGAAGCCCTTCTGCAACAACAGTCATGAGCATTTTGAAGTTGAAAAATGGACTGAATGCCAGATAAATCGCTATAGCCTCTGTAGACCTTGAATATAGCAGTGGCAAGTATCAGGGATACCTTATATAACGAACTTCTGCTGCCTGATACATCAGAAAATTTTTTGCTGTATTTGACGTCTAGGAAGGCTATAACGATTGACTTAATCTTGGCCAAGAGTTCATTTTTCGCCTCAAAAAATGAGTTTATAAGGGTACCAGAAGGTAGAGAAACCAAGTTCTCGCTTAAAGTTTGCAGTTTGTGGTGATCGGCACTTCCTCGTCGTGACCCTCCTTGGACACACGCCAGTATCGATATCAAAAACTGTGGAGTTTTCTGACTGCAGCTCTTGTTCTGACAAATCATATCCTTCTTTAAGCTCGGATATATGTCTGCTAAGTTATTCTTATCTACAAGCGAGTTACCAAATAAAATGGTCTTAGCGAAGAAGACCTGCTAAAAGAAAAAATATCAAAAATATCCAAAGATCCGAAATTGTTAACTTTCCTAGCTTTTCGTAGTGGTCCCTAACGTCTCTAATTATAGATTTTTTATACTGAACAATCAACTGTTTTTGCAAAAAGTGCTTATGTCATGTCCTACTCTCACATTTGCAAAAATCAAAGAAAATTGGTTGCTTTTAGAAAAACTTTTTGGAATAACCAAAAACTGCACTTTTTATAAATCTTGGCATGATGAATTTCGTAGTGACTTGATTTTGAGGAATTCCAAGGCTGATAACTATGTTTTTTAGACTCTCTTGAGGCGAGCCATGATCTTGAGAAGCTGAAATGATTTTCGAAGCCAGCTTAAATCTTCAGATTTTCTTCATTACCATGTTGTCCCATAAGTCCGTCTGTTTTTTGACTTTTATCCGCAACTCGTGAACTTCTTATCCTTGAACAGCTTTTCAAGCACCGTGTAGAGCAAAGCAAGCTCTACAAGATGGCGTTCTTGCCTTTGCACCAACTGCAATCCATTTTGAGTTTGAAGCCAGGAACCAAAAAGATTTATTTGCCTGAAAAATCGAAAATAAACCATAACTCCGTCCAAAAAACCCCACGGAAATCCTAACTTGCGCATACACTTCCCGCATAAGACGTTCATATGTACCCTTGCTACATTTTTTCCTCGGCTAAAATTCAAGAAAACTAAAATTTTCGTATAGCGTAAGTGGTGATGTGCTGTTCCGCATGAGTAAATGTATACTACAGGCCTTGAAAAGTACAAGCGCGAATTTTCAGCTTTCCATAAGCTTTAGTTTCTGAAAAATATGGATTTTAAGTGAGAGACCCGACCGAGAGTAGATTCAATCTATATTTCTCAGGAACTAACGCTTGTAGAAAGCTGAATTTTACATGATAACCAAAGTGTAGTATACAATTACTTGTGCGGGAACAGCACAGCATCACTTCCGCAAAAGCACGAAAATATTCGTCTTCATGAATTCTAGACCAGGAAAAATTACAGCAACGGCACATGTAAACGTCTCATGTGGTGTACGCGTGAGCAAGTAAAAATTTTTGTAGCGATTTTTAGACAGAGTTATGATTCATTCTCAATTTTTCGGCAATCAAATCTTTTCAATTCCTGGCTTCAAACTCGAGGTGGATCGCAGCTGGTGCAAAGACGAGAGCGCATCTTGTAGAGCTTGCTTTGCCCTATCGAATGGTATTATACTTCGAAACCCATTTGAAAAAGAAGTGTATGATTTATCGCGAGTGAAAGTCAAAACGGACGGAACTTATGGAAAAACCCGATATTTTAAATATTGCAAGGTAAAAGCAAGTTACTTTTACATTTCTACAACCCACACACGTCACCTTCAAAATTTACGACTCTGTCGAGAGAGGGGTCTTTCCTCCATCTCTGCCCTTAATCCTGTACAACAGTTCCTCTTTCAAAAGATCGAAAACATAGTATGACTAGTTTGCCTTATCAGTCTATACCAAATCATCTCCGAAACAAATGCAGCTCTGTCTCATTTTAGTCAGTGGCTAACCAAAATGATATTAGGCTGCTGCAAAAATAATGTCCGTTTATCTAGGCTCACATTCCGAACAATTTTCGTCCTTCCAAATTTCTTTTGTGATAGGGATTCTGCATATCATTGGAAAGCTATCTTCATATAGCTATCTTCATCCTAACAGTGGTAGAATTGAGCTTATATCTCATCTGTGAGAATTTTACCAACATTTTGCACATCCGCACCAAAATCAAAATTTCATTGCTTTAACTTTTTTGGCCACGATTCAGGCACAAATGAACGGATTCTTTCGAAAATATAGCTACTGTGTTGCTTGAACATTGTTTACCTATAGCATGTAAGTAGAATTTTCGAAAATATCCGAGCCGAAAGTCAACGCCCCGAAATAGATACTTGCTGCTGGCATTCTATGGGTCCAAAGTTTTCACAATCAGGGCAATCGCCGAAGCTCCGCTCATTTCTGTATGCTTAAGGTCAGGACATCTTTCCTACAATTCTTGCAGAAAACTTAGCTATTCTGTGTATAAAGAATTTTAAAACCATAGTTTGGGAGTTTCTGGCCTACCACGAATAGGCTCGAAAAAGTGGACAATTTTGGATTTCAAGTCTTTTTCAAGCAAACGTGTATTACTGGCTTGCATCTACAAAATAAGCTAATTAGCAGCCATAGAAATAAAACTTGAAGGGAATTGTAATCTCTCAAAGACGAGGTTTGCGAAAGAAAAACTTTCGGGTTTTCGCCGCAGGGTTTTCTTCCATTTCGCAATATCAGTAAAACCACGTGCGCGTTAGGTTACGAAAGTTTCATTGCTTCAGATGGTTTTGACTGCATTCAGAAATATTGAGACTGAACAAAGTTATAGCTTTTCAAATTGAAATTTTGCAAAACGGACATTATTTTTGCAACAACCATACTTTAGTGCCAATAGCAAAAAACCGGCATAAGTCCGTTCTTAGGCTTTTTCAAAGCGAAATTCCCCCTAGTTTTCAAATTTTACGAATCCGCTTTGACCCTTATTGGGAACGTCGACTAAAAAAGTTAACCTAACTTGTGTTTTTCCGGACCCACAAAAACGATATTCCCTTTGCTTTTTTTCCTTTAAAACGATGTCCAGCCTGTTTCTTGACGATCCTTGCCGGTCACTGCCGATAATTACTTCAAAATTCAAAAAAGTGCTATTTATTCCATCCAAAATCTACATCGATGAGTACACATTTTCAGTCGCCTAGCCGCATTCAGCTTTTTACATTTACACACTATCTACAAACTAATCCAGCCGATTAATCCACGAACGTTGGCGGGAATAGAACAATAGCAACGGTGCCTTATCAAAAAAGTACACGAATTGCTATTGAAGCAGCAAGATAACACCACAGATTGATTAGCTCGCTTTTTACGTATTCTTTGAATTCTTGTTATTACGTCTTCTGACTCATACACACGTTTTTTAATAAGCGCAAGAACTTTTCGGATGCTCTTCTTCTATCACCAACATTCATGGTGACAGCGGGTCTATCCTGCCGGCGACGAAACTCTTCGTGATCACGCTTCGTTGCCTTATCTCTTTATGTAGATTTTTCAATTGGAAACTCCAAACTCTTGTGTTGGAGCTCAATCTCGACCTGGGCCATATTCCGGAAAACTGGTATGGCTGTGAAAGATGGACTATTTTACTTGATACCTCTCTTCGTAAGCTCTATGGCTATTTCGTCACACCACGCTTTATTCTACCAAAAACCTCTACATTCTTCTAACGTGACTATTTATTCGCGGACAAATCCAGGAAATGTATCAGCCAGATTAGCATTCATAGTCCAGCAGACTGCATCATCGCAAACTACAGTGCGAGATGGAAAAAAGTAGGTTTAAACTTGTAATTTTTTAATAGATTTCCACATTTGGTTTTGACACAACCAACAAACTGCCAAATCTCAGGGGCAGAAAAATATAGCATTGACTCAACTGCACTGAGTATTTTTCAATGTTTTTCATATGCTATTCAGCTCAGTACCTGCCGAGAAAGTCGCTCCTAATAATTTTTTTTCTATTTGTTTAATGTAGCATGCGTACAAACACTTGAGTAAATGCAAAAAATAGTGCAAGCTTATTTAAAAACAATGTTCATGCATCGAATCTTTGCATCTCTTTTTGAACAGAAACAAATGTTTATACCTAAAATATAGCACATTGTCTGCTCTACGTTTTGTGATAAAGATGGAAAAGTGGAGCGATAAACAATAACCAGCTGTAATGTAATGTAATCAGCTATGTATCAAAGAAAAGTTTGTAAAAATTGATGTGTTAGATGCAATGAGTCACGTGTAATAGATGGCACTTTCGGGTTCCTGACAAATTGACGGATTCTTACATTTGATAACAACGAGAATAACGTATCGAATTTATTCTATTGAACTTTTAAACGAACACTTTTATGTATGACAAATTGGGCAAAACATGGGTTATTCCTAATGTCGCTACAAAGCAACTGAAAATTACAAAATCTGCATTTATGACAGGATTGACAAATCCCTTCGTTGGGGCAAATGCTGGTAAGAATTTATTCCAAGTAGAATATCAGTAGAAAGAACGATTAGATTTTTTCTGCAGTAATATAGTGCCCTAATCATGCAAAATCAACGTTTTCAGGGATATTGCTCAAACAAAAACATGCCTTTCGGAAAATAAATTGAAAATCTTGGGGCTGTTAATTCTATTATTGTTGTAGAAACTAACAAAATTATCAATTACTCTGAGATGAAGATAATGAGCAAAAAAGATCACGATTCGAAGCCATCATGAAACTTCACAAGAAGTAAAGTGAAATGCTATCTTGATGAGGACGAAGAGAACTGTCGGCATGTTGCGAAAAGCGATGACATTCTGTGACAAAACCTAGCACCGAGTGAATTTCAATATCGATTATAATCGGGTCAAAGTGAATGAGTATTCAAATGGTCTGCCCTTAGGATTTTCATTTCACTTTTTAATCAAGCTTCTCGAGTGATTCGACATACATATCGTGAGAATATGCCAAATTTTGATGCTCAAAAAAGTTACAGCAGTGAAATACATGATGCGGGCATGACGACCTTAAAAAAGTTGGAAGATTTCCCCTCTACTCCTCTTCTAGTTAAAAGATTCCCCCTCTTCCCCTTCATTAAAGGCAACACCGTTCTTTGCCGCAAATGGAGGTCATCTGCGTACGCGAATCTTTTCACCAAAGTGCCTGTTTAGAGTGAATATCAGTAAAGGGCCACCAACAGATTTTCTTAGACACACTTTATGAAAAAAGTCAAGAAGTTTTGTTAATCTTGCCTTGCCTAGCCAAAGCTTATGTATTTCAGCTTTGGATCAACAAAAACTCCATTTTTGGAAGACTCCAAGTATTCAAAAACACAAGCACCAACAGAGAAGAAATTCTTAAGTTCAGTGAGCCCAAAAAGAAGACTGTATCATTCACATCCCACAAGTAAAGCCAATCTAGCAACGACTCCGAAACATGTTGCAAGTAGAAGTGGTAGCGGGAGTAGAGGTCCGCCAGTGACCAGACCTGCAAATGGACCAACTGACAACACCACCTACTTTAATGATACATCGTTGCCGAGTAATCCGGCTGAGACAACGGAGACAATTACAGGGGAGACGACCTCGATTACTGCTACGTCAACAGCGACTGAAGTCACAAGCGAATCATTGACTACAGTTACTGACTTAACCTCGACTAAAACAATCACAACAGGAACAAGCGGAACAACCAGAAGCAGCCCCACAACAACGGACAGAACAACCAGACCCATTCCCACAACAACGCGCACCGAAAGTACAACGAGTAACACAAGACGTACAAAACACCCATCAACAGAGTGGGAAACAACTGAGAGCGCAGCGGGATTAGTGAGCACATTGAAAAGTTCATCAATAACTACAACTTCTACCACATCGCCAACAAGTGCTGAAGCTACACCGCCAATCACTTATCCTTCAACTTCTCAAGAAAGTACTACGGAAGCTACTGGTGGAAGCACATTGGAAACTTCATCAATAACTACAAGTGGTGAATTCACACCGCCAATCTCTTATCCTTCAACTTCTCAAGAAAGTACTACGGAAGCTACTGGTGGAAGCACATTGGAAACTTCATCAATAACTACAAGTGGTGAATTCACACCGCCAATCTCTTATCCTTCAACTTCTCAAGAAAGTACTACGGAAGCTACTGGTGGAAGCACATTGGAAACTTCATCAATAACTACAAGTGGTGAATTTACACCGCCAATCTCTTATCCTTCAACTTCTCAAGAAAGTACTACGGAAGCTACTGGTGGAAGCACATTGGAAACTTCATCAATAACCACAAGTGGTGAATTCACACCGCCAATCTCTTATCCTTCAACTTCTCAAGAAAGTACTACGGAAGCTACTGATGGAAGCACATTGGAGACTTCACCAATAACTACAACTTCTACCACATCGCCAACAACTGCTGAACCTGAACCGCCAATCCCTTACCCTTCAACTTCTCAAAAAAGTACTACGGAAGCTACTGATGGAAGCACATTGGAAACTTCATCAATAATTACAACTGCTACACCGCCAATCGCTTATCCTTCAACTTGTCAAGAATGTACTATGAAAGCTACTGGTGGAAGCACATTAGAAACTTCATCAATAACTACAACTTCTACCACATCGCCAACAAGTGCTGAAGCTACACCGCCAATCTCTTATCCTTCAACTTCTCAAGAAAGTACTACGGAAGCTACTGGTGGAAGCACATTGGAAAGCTCATTAATAACTACAACTTCTACCACATCGCCAACAAGTGCTGAAGCTACACCGCCAACCACTCATCCTTCAACTTCTCAAGAAAGTACTATGGAAGCTACTAGTGGATTGTATACATCAGAGACGCCCGTGACAACACATTCAACAACTATGGTTGAAACCATAGAGACCGATGGCTCACCTTACCCAACAGAATCTGCGAGTTCAACTGTATATTCAAAAAGTACATTTATGACTACTAAGGAAGCTGCGGATAAGGAAGCTTCCACCACATCAACTACTTTGAAGAACACAACAACGAAGATTACAACAAGTTTCACGATATCGCCTTCATCAACAACGGCTCAACCCCTGCATAACAGGTTACTTCATTTAGTTTTATGACAGAACACAAAATCGAATATCTTATGCGAACATATATCTTTTGGTACGAAAGTGGTCACCACACCTCCTGCGACCCAAGACATTCAACCAACTTCGTACGCTGACGAGCTGAAGAATATTAGTGAGGTTTGATTTTCGTCATATCGATTTACTACAGCTGAGATTCCTATTCAGAAGGAAGTTGATCTGCAAAATGTGACCGAAGTATTGAATGAAACATTGATTTACTCGGAAAATCGTGAAAATCTGAAAGCAGACGAGATTCAAGAGATTGCCATCATTTTGCAAAAATGTGCCAACCTAAGCGGAATTCAACCAGAGGTAAGAAGCAAATTATACAAAGCAAACTTTGGAAACTAGAAGTCTGAGTTATTTGTTCTGATAGGATTCGCAAAAGGTACTACTGAATATTGACTGCGTCTTATCAGCTGATGCATCTCAAATCTCCGCAAGTGCAAACAGCTCTCAAGTGTAAGTTAAGTAAAAAAATGGTTATTTATAAATTCAGATTGTAATGGTTCTAGATTACTTGATCTGATTCCGATGTTAGTGCAGAACACAAATGCTACCAGTTTCGATTTTCTGGAAGGGGAAAACCTTGGATTTACAGCAAAAAGTATTGATTGTGCCACAACAGAGGGTATTGGACTTCTCGATACTGGGAAAGAATTCAAAACAATAACTAATACGAAGACTGACGACGACAATAAGCAGCATTCAATTTTCATTACAAGTGCTGATATATGCAAACGCAGTAGCCAAGGTAAAACGCTTTTACAGAGGCAGTGGCTTTACGATGTGCTTAACCGAATCTAATTGGTAATCTTGGCTATTCATCAAAACTAAGCTTCCGATCTTCCAAAAACGCCATCTTGTCATTTTGGAACATTTCAAGCACAACATTGGACTCAGCACACGATAAGGCTTATTACTGCTGAAAAAACTGTGGTTGCAAGTTCTAAGCCACTGCTACAAAAAAGTCTAAAAGTTTTTTGATTTAATTTTAGCATCTCACATGTTTGTCACAATATATCGTAATTACAAGCTGTTCATTGGCCCAAAGCAATACAACACGTACAAGTCGGCAGAAACTCTTTCACGCAGGAGCACCGTGCAGAAAGCAGCTTTTGAAAGAGGTATTTCAACAGTCTTATTACCTAATTTTCTCAAGCTTTGTACAAAAAATAGCATGGCAATAGGATTTCGCCAGTAGAATAAGTTTTCTTTCAAATTTCCTCTGTTATGGATAGCGAAGCTCAAATATGTCATCAGGATTTCAAATGTATGTTCCTACAAGGGCGGGTTTTGATAAGAAGCACGTCGATAGCACACGATAAGCAAAATGACGTCGAAGCACCAGTAAAAAGCCTAATCTACCCAACTATCCGGAACAGCTGAAACCGCGCCAAGGTTTTTGAAAAAAGAAAGGGGATATTGTTTTCGCGTCCACAAAGGAGAGCATATTGTTGCAACATGCCGCTTGTCGACGGCATGCTTGCGGCTCGCAGCTGTTTGTTCACAATCAAAATGCAACGGTATGACACCAAATTTGGTGGACTGGGCGCATGAGAGGACTGGAACTACGGCCCAAATATTAATTTAAAGAGTTCAAAGAGTTTCAGCTGAGCTAGAACAGACCGCTTGTCCAAATTTCAACTTCCTTGCTACAAGTAGAAACCGTCTCATAATCTTTTCTCTACGCTTTTTATAACCCATGAAATTTTCGTTGGCGGCGAAATCTGCTTCGATTGCAAAGTCTACCCCTATGCAATCTAATTTGGCCTTGATAATGCTCGCCTTCCTATTTTCTTTTTTCTTTTTACGTTCGTTCTTGTCATCTTATATATAAAGCTGAATGTCTGTATGTATGTCTGTCTGTCTGTCTGTACGTATGTGCGGAATAGAAATTTTTATTTCTGAACCGATCGGGACCAAACTTGGCACACATATACTTCGGGGCAGGGAGCGTGTCATAGGCTACTTTTCGTTATCGATCGATATCGATTTTATCGATTTTTTGCAAAATTTGAGCTACAGGGCTGGGAGTTGGCACAGGGGGGTAATCGAGCATGCTGATTACGAATATAATAATGACAGGCCCGGGCGGAGCCGGGTTTGCCAACTAGTATATATATATTTGTTATCGATGAATGGGGTGGTGAGTTGAGTAGAAAGAATAGAGTGAACAAGGGAGTTGTGGAGGGGAGGAGACAAGCGTTGGACCGGCAGGTTCAGGCTTCAATCTTGGAGCAAAGCTCGTTTGGTGCATAATGTGGAAAGTAATGAGATTTTCTTGGTTTATGTCTGGTTTTTGTTGAAAATTAGTAAAAAAAAGTATTATCCACTTACCTTTAGCTTTATGATGAGCGACAGCACAAACAAAAAAGGCAAGTGAGAAGTTATAGGAGGAGGGGCGTCACTTCGGAATCTCCTGGCTTCAACCGGTGCAGAAGCCCTGCTCGGATCTACATTTAGAAGAGTCTTACTGACACTGCCTACGCATATTTTCTATGTCAGACATTTACGGGAACCGTATTCCTAGTACTGGTACAGTTACCAAATTTTTCTCCGTGACCAGATTGCAAAAATGAAAATGGACAAAAAAATGCAAAAATGTTTTGCACTGAATCTCATAATTTTTGAAAATTAGCTGGTGTAGAAGCCTGAAAATTCAAGGTTTTACTGACAAAAGCTTGTATAAAAATACCCATGTGGGCAAGCCCAACATTTAATTGTCAATGGTTTGTTATGGCTTACTGCAGATCTGCTGCAACATTTCCCATCTGAAAGCAAAGAAAAACTGTTTTAGATTCCAAGCAAGATCCAGCCCCTTCAAAATGCGATGAACAAATTGCTCTAGTGGATGAAGCTCCTGTCATGAGTGGTACTATCATTGGCAATGAGCAGGTCAGTTTTCAAATGTTGTTTTCGCCCAAGAAAAAAAGTAAACGATGAAAGTGTATGTAACAAATACCGCCAACCATAAGAGTCACCCGGCGCTATTTTACTCGTTGCTGGAAGTCGCTTCATGCAAGCTTTGCCTTCCAATGTAGCTTTACAAGCGCTTCTTGATCTTGCTTGCTAGCTTTGCCAGAATACTTATGTACACAACGAGTTGCTATGCAGGGCATCACGCTGTCAAGCATGCGTCTTCAAGCTGACATAATTGTAAATCAATCCCCCCCCTCCCCCCCCCCCCCCCGAGAATGGGTCGCGAAATTTTTGAAAGTTGCTTAAATGTGTTATACAAATGTGCATAGGACTTGTTTGTACTTGAAAATAATTAAAAAAATTTTTTTAAAAATTCTTAAAAATTCAAATTAGCCTTGCAAAAAAAATTTATTCGGGGCGTGGCTGTCGCTACGCCCCCTTTTTCTGAAATTTTGGGGTCAGGGGCCCGGAAAAATTTTGGGAAGCATCCCAAAAAATTTTTCGGAGTGCGCGGCTAACGCCACGCCCCTTCATCCAGAAAAAAAATTTTGTCGCGCCCCCGAACGGAAATCCCGGATACGCCACTGGGAGTCAGATATCGTAGAAGATTGTGGAGCTAATTGCAGAGATAAGGATCGTTGACAATGTGAATGGAAGTCAGGTAATATTTAATTTAGTGACACCATTTATTTCAGAACACATTACTAAATCCACAAAGCACAACAGTAATGGCTACTCTTCACTTCAGTCTAACAAATGTGAGTCATACTTTGAAGCGCTTCTGGGACTACTTTTTGAATGTAGAGTAACAAGCCGTAATAATTTTGCTTCACCAAGGGAAGGTGGTTTTAAATTAGCTTCAAAATGATTTTTATGCAACTCACTCAGAAGCCGAATAGAAAACTCATATGAATATTTACTATTACATAAATTACATAAGTCTCTTTATGCGTGTAGCAGTGAAAATATTTCATTTGGCTACCATGAAGAAAGTTCCTCCTGCTATTTTGATGTCTACAGTTTTCTTCTCGCGTCTTTCACTTGATTATGCAGAGCATTCCTAGAAGATGGAAAGATGGCCAGAGAGCGGAATGTACCAAGTACTAAGAGCTCTTTACGAATTTTATTAAAAAAATGCTTTTTTAGTCTTTTCTTGCTGTACCGGTCATCATTACTTTGTAGCCAACAAATGTTTCACTTTAGTTTCTCAAGAATCTAGCTTTTACAAAGATGGCAGTAGCATTCGGGCATCAAGGAAAAGTTTTTTTTGGTACAATATTATCTGTGATAACACAAAATAAAACGAAGAAAATTAAATTCTTCGAGACCTCTATTTCGCCAACTTCTTTTCAAATTTACAATTCGCAAGAATTTTTAAGTGCGGAATTCTAAGTTACGTCTTCTTGTTAGCACCCTAAAAAACAAAATGGGCATTTCATAATAGCAAAGCACGTAGAACATAACGTTATGACGGTGCTCACACGGCGTATTGTGCGCCATCTCAATAGTAGGATATGTACCCTATTTTCAAGTGTATAAGCCGCACGTTTCTGGAAAATTTCAAGCGAGCTGCTCAATTGTCTCAGTGTGTCTTGGAAAGCAATCCTTATGTTGCACAATTCAATTATTCAACACGCAGCACGGTATGGGGTTTGGTTGCGAAGTCCTTTGGTGTGTTTGGGCTGGTTGATTTGAAAAAATCCTTTGCCGCCTATACACTTGAAAATAGAGTAGCAGCTCAAATGAAAGTGAAACAAAGTGAGGGGAAGTCTATCCCAGCCTAAACTGTCCATTCGTTTTGATATCTGCACATGAGTGAATTTCCAAAATTCCAGACACTACGGCCACTTCACGGTCACTTCCGCGTAACTTGGTGGGACACCGAACTGCTAGAATGGTCAACATCAAATCAGTGCGAAACAGCAGTAGAAGGAGGCAAACTTGTTGCTAGTTGTAATCATCTAACGGATTTCGCACTAATAGTGGTAAATATCTGTTGTTACGTAGTGCAGAATGCGGAGGGGTGCGGAGGTTTAATTAGAGAGCGATAGGACAGATACCAACCATTAATCATTGAAGAACAGATTAAGCTGCACCCTAATCTTGGAATTTTTACCCAGGATGCAGCACTCAACGATCCCAATATGTGCGACAAAGCTCTCTATAGTCTGGGCTACACAGTAAACACTTTATCCATAGCATCACTGTTGTTTTTAACGGTTATGTCTGCTTCTGCTTAGTGAGTTTCACCTCGCGTTAACAGGTACTATATAAGAGAAGAACAATTCTAGCTGGCCTGCTCTTGTTGGTAACCATGTTATTCTTTACCTACGAGGTTATGCACCGCCAACAAAAGACCTTGTCTGCCTTTCTCATAAGGCGGCAATGTTTCTCTTCTACATTGTGTTCACCATATTTTCCGATGAAGCAGTGTCCGGAAAGGGATGCAGCGTGTTTGCTTCGATAGCATATATGCTGCTAATGAGGTGAGAAGTATCTCTATATAAAATGCTGAAGATGCTAACAAATTGTTTCAGTTCTGTTCTGCTCACAATTTTCCAAGCGCTTAGGCTCACAACCGCATTTGCTATTTTGACCGGTCCATGGGTAAAAGTAATCATCTTACCGTCATCTGCTATCATCATCAGCCTTCGTAAGCACTTCGCAGTTTCATTTATGTACGGTTTTCTTTTACTTCAGATACACTACATTTTCCCATGCGTGTCCCTTAAATGACAGGCTCAAAAACATCGTTTGAACATTCTCAATTGCAGTGCCTCCCTTTGTCGCATCGTTACTGCTAGTCACACTAAGTGATTTTTTCCAACGAGGTGATTGCTTCTGCTGGGTACGACCAGATTATGTTGTCTACGCTGTCGTCTTACCAACATCAGTCATGATTTTAAACGCTATATTGTGCACAACTGTCATATGCAAACGTGTATTTGGAAGAAGGAGATTTAGCAGATCGGTAAGTTTTAGGTAATTTCTAGGTGTTTGAAATCTTTTAGCGAAGAGAGTTATAAACGAAATTTGTCTTATTATTGACATACATGGTTGGGAGAAAGTCTTTGAACACGGTATTTTTAACGTAATGATGAAGAGGCAGAATGATTACATGAAATCAATAGGTAATGTTTACTCAACTGTCTGGTACACAAAACTGCCTTTACAATTCAAAGATTCCTCCTTTGACACGAGCACAGGCTCGGAAACGCTTGAGAACGCTGTCCAAGGTGGCACGGAGGTGTTTCACGTCGATTTCTTCCAACGCCTTCTGAAGAGCAAGTCGCAGAGACTTTACTGTCTTGCATGGGTGAGCACAGGCTTTGGCCTAAAGAACTGACCACACACTTAGTCGGGGTATTCAGATCCGGCCAATACAAAGGCCATTCCGTAGGAGTAATGAACTCCTTGATGTTGCTTTGGAGCCATGCTTGAACAAACTTCGCTTTGTGCGCAGGTGCGCTATCCTGCTGAGGACACCTATCACTCCTGGCAAAATGGTTATTGGTCTCCAGGTCAACAATCCCTTCTTCAGGATGCTATCCACGTGCGTAGCGGTGTCCACCTCGACGTCCTGGGACATAAAAATCGCCAGCATCTTGATGTCGAAAGCAATCGCCGCGCAAACCATTTCAGAAGCCGGATGAGAACTTCCTTCTGCGAGTCAACCCTTGCTATTGACTTCTGGGGGCGATCAGGTGATGATTCTGTTATTTGGCGATCAAAAACTTTCCTCACGATAAAAATTTTGACGTCAGAAAAGAGTGTAGATCAGTGGCGTGCCTTGGAGAAACGTTCAAGAAGTCGATGGCATCTGCGCAGTCAATTCAGCTTCATGTCCTCCCAAAAAGCATGAAATTCAGTATCCTGAAAAGCTTCATCGCAAGGCCCTCTTTTACGATGTCGGAAACTGTCCTGCCAGAGATGGACAGCTCTGAGGCCAGCTCAATCAAGCTTCGTCGAGGATTGCGACGAAGGCGCTGGCGAACGATTTTCAGGACTTCGTTACTGTCCGCAATAGCCAATTTACCACTCATACAACAGTCCTGGGTGCTGCTCATGTCCTGACGAGGTGGAAAAGATCCTGATCTGTAAAATTTGGGGAGCCCTCGCAATTTGCTGCTCAGCAATCCTCTCTTTGTGTATCTTCTCAACCAACGCTCGTTCCATTAAAGAAGCATATCTCCGATAGGGAAAAAGCTAGTAGTCCGGTTTTTTTGAGGGCTTGTACTCAAGAGTATAAGAACCAAACATATATAGTTAGCATACAAAAATTTGTGGAAAAACCGAACATACAAGGACATCAAAGATTGTTCAAGGACTTTCATCCAACCCTGTACATACATGCGTGCCTTCAGAAAATGACATACAGTAAAAGTGACACACAATAATAGCAGCAAAAGCGGGCTTCTGAAATTTTATGCAAAGGAGTAAAAGGCTCATCATCAACCTACAGTACCCACACTAATTATTCGACAGAAAACGCAAAAACTGACGATCCGCGTTTTTTTCGTTTTTTCTTCATAACTTCCTTCAAATTGCATAAAATACAAATCCGAAGAAAGCATGATGCTCAGCTCGTCATGATGAATCTCCTGATATATTGCACTCTCGTACTATTCTGTTTTCAATCTGCTCGATTTTTGTGTGAGGACGGGTATTCGTAGTGGTGTAACTCAGCGAAGAACACACATGGACTAGTCAAGTAAACATGGGTCAGTAGTGCTGTCCCCGTAGATTATCATGTATTAGTGAGTAGCGAAGGATTCCCTTTCCCTAGGGAAAGATAGGCCGTTTAATTTTGAAAAAACGATGTCTCTCAAATTTCCGTTACCGTAACCCCACAGTAAGACGCTAATTTGCAAAGCAGGTGTGTTTTTCGTGATCAGCAGGTTAGATAACCTCTATGCGCAAGTTTTCCAAGGAATTCAGGACCTTTCATTTTTTCTCGTTCTAAGCTGTGAGGCTCGCCGACCGGTTTTGGCTAAAATATTGATGATCTTGGATTGACCGGAAACTTCGCCCATAGAGGTTTTCGGACTCGTTGATTACATAAATAGTGCCCTCTGTGCAGCATAAGTTCTTTTGGCAGAGTTATGCTGAGAGGAATGCTGCGATACTACGCAAGTTCCTAAGTTTGTCTTTTGGAGTTTCCCCTTTGCGCGTGTCTTTTGGACAACTTACCTGCTCCTTTTTGTAATTTGAAATCACTAGAGGCAGTGCTCTTAGAGCATGCTTAAACTAGGCCTTTACCTATATTGGTCGCCGAACTGTGAGCTGACGAACTCACGTCCGCATGAAAATCGTTCGAAATTTTAAGATCGCACATTTTGGCCAAATATCGCCGCGAATGGTCAGATGACTCTGATTGCAGATATTATGTTTATATACACATGTTAATTGCTGATTTATGCCGCATACTGCTGCTTACCCCTTGTAACAACTCTTACACCTGTAACTCAAAGTCTACAAAAAATCGATAAGCCGATATCGACCGATGACGAAATGTAATCTATCAAACCAGTTCGGCTCCTAAGGCTAGGTTCATACTAATTCCCATGTTCCGGAACTGTTCCCGCACAGTCCCGCAATGTTCCCGCACTGTGCTGGGAACTGTGCGGGACTGCAACTGTGCTGCATGCGCTGCAGCCGCCCCGCACGCGTTTCGAACGGTGCGAGTTGGAGAATTTTGACCGTTTTCAACGGTTTTTCTTCCAAATTTTTTTCATTTTGGCCTTATTCCTCTACCCCGCTTCTTTTTCTTGATCAGCAGAACTTCGAGCTCAAAGCGGGGTTGAAGAATGAGCGCTTTTCGCCATGAATTATTGAGGAGGAGCAATTCTGAAGTTGCATAAATTGGGACTTTTCTCTTGTTTTCTGATGAGTTCCCTTTTTGGCCATTCTCAGCCCCTTTCCTTGTGATGAGAAAAGGTGTGAAATTAAAGCGAGTTAAATTCCATATCCGGGCAGATTGCTCTTTTTGCGCTTGTCCATTTTCTTCCATTTTTGTCCAGGCCTGCTTCATGTGTTCTAGAAGGCGCTGCATAGTCTCGCATCTGTATTGAAAGGGACATGGACAGGTCTCTAGAACACTTGAAGTAGGCTTGAACAAAAATGGCAGAGAAGGACGAGCGCAAGAAAGTTCATCTTCCCGGATACATGATAAGAACCGCGTTCAATCCTCAACTCCGCATCAAGTTCACAGCTTTTCTCATCACAAGGAGAAGCGGGATAGAAGAAAGAAAGGAGAAACAACGATATGGAAAAAGGAAAGGGGCGGAGAGTGCCCAAAAACGAAACTGATCAAAACAGAGACAATCAATTCATGCAATTTCGGAATTGCTCCTACTCCCCAATGCATAGCAGATGGCTATGGAAACTACGCAGGGGCTTCCTGGAACAAATGGAATGAGTCTATGTAAAAATAAAGCGAAGAGAAAATGGACGAGCGCAAGAACACACATTTTGTCGCATACGCAGAGCAGAAAAGCGCTCATTCTTCAACCCCGCTTTGAGCTCGAAATTCAGCTGATCAAGAAAAGAAGCGGGTAAGGCCAAAATGAGAGAAATCTGGAAGAAAAACCGTTGAAAACGGTCAAAATTCTCCAACTCGCACCGTTCGAAACGCGTGCGGGGCGGCTGCAGCGCATGCAGCACAGTTGCAGTTCCCGCACAGTTCCCAGCACAGTGCGGGAACATTGCGGGAATGTGCGGGAACAGTTCCGGAACATGGGAATTAGTATGAACCTAGCCTTAGGAGCCGAACTGGTTTGATAGATTACATTTCGTCATCGGTCGATATCGGCTTATCGATTTTTTGTAGACTTTGAGTTACAGGTGTAAGAGTTGTTACAAGGGGTAAGCAGCAGTATGCGGCATAAATCAGCAATTAACATGTGTATATAAACATAATATCTGCAATCAGAGTCATCTGCAACCATTCGCGGCGATATTTGGCCAAAATGTGCGATCTTAAAATTTCGAACGATTTTCATGCGGACGTGAGTTCGTCAGCTCACAGTTCGGCGACCAATATAGGTAAAGGCCTAGTTTAAGCATGCTCTAAGAGCACTGCCTCTAGTGATTTCAAATTACAAAAAGGAGCAGGTAAGTTGTCCAAAAGACACGCGCAAAGGGGAAACTCCAAAAGACAAACTTAGGAACTTGCGTAGTATCGCAGCATTCCTCTCAGCATAACTCTGCCAAAAGAACTTATGCTGCACAGAGGGCACTATTTATGTAATCAGCGAGTCCGAAAACCTCTATGGGCGAAGTTTCCGGTCAATCCAAGATCATCAATATTTTAGCCAAAACCGGTCGGCGAGAATCACAGCTTAGAACGAGAAAAAATGAAAGGTTCTGAATTCCTTGGAAAACTTGCGCATAGAGGTTATCTAACCTGCTGATCACGAAAAACACACCTGCTTTGCAAATTAGCGTCTTACTGTGGGGTTACGGTAACGGAAATTTGAGAGACATCGTTTTTTTCAAAATTAAACGGCCTATCTTTCCCTATGGAAAGGGAATCCTTCGCTACTCACTAATACATGATAATCTACGGGGACAGCACTACTGACCCATTTTACTTGATTCGTCCATGTGTGTTCTTCGCTGAGTTACACCACTACGAATACCCGTCCTCACACAAAAATCGAGCAGATTGAAAACAGAATAGTACGAGAGTGCAATATATCAGAAGATTCATCATGACGAGCTGAGCATCATGCTTTCTTCGGATTTGTATTTTATGCAATTTGAAGGAAGTTATGAAGAAAAAACGAAAAAAACGCGGATCGTCAGTTTTTGCGTTTTCTGTCGAATAATTAGTGTGGGTACTGTAGATCAGGCAGCCCCACCCTCCTGTAACAGCACTAACCATTAGAATCCTGCATATAAGGTTAAGCTTTTTTTCATTCCACTTAGGCTTCAAAAAGCGTACGCTTAGGTCATTTTCTTTTTTTAAAAAAGGCGCACATCTCGCAGTCTGACGGAGACTCTTCCAACGAGTCTGCATCCATGATTTTGGCGTTGATCGATTCATCCAATTTCAAAATGCTTTAGAGTTGGGCTTCTGAATCTGCATTTTTGTGATAAAGGTGACGATCTTCTAAAAAGGATGAGACTACTGAAAAAACCGAAAACGCAGCTGCTCAATATACGTGAGCGAAAAAATAGCTGTCTATACCAGAAATTTCTTATCATCACTCAAAATCATGTCCTTCAACAGACTAAGGGCCCAGCAAGTAGAGCGTTGTGCAAAGCAACTATAGCATTGCGCATGAGCGATATGTTTAGCTATAAGAAAACGTTATCACATTATATTTACAAGTACTGCTATCTGTCATCGTTACTAAGCATTCGCTTTGCTAGGTACCCACTACCGTACCACTTCCATCCTGACTATAATATAAAAATCTCTAAAGAGTAGTCAAGATCGAGCGTCCATATGAAAAAGGAGACGGGGTTGGCTAAAAAAACTTTTATTATTTTATATTCATAGCTAGGATTTGCTAGGAACGGAGATATATATTGAAAGCGAACTCTCTACTTCCATTGCTTTTCAGATGAGAAGACGAGAGCAAACGCAAATTGCATCCAGAATCGGTGCTGTTTTCCTTATGCAACTGTCGATGGGCACTCCATGGGTCAGTTTCTTGGAAATTTCATTGCTTCCAATATCAATACCATGAGTGCTTGCTTACACTAGTCTTGAGTACGATTTGCTGTAATAAATAAGAGAGACGCGTAATTCTTATTTCAGCGATCCGACACTTATTTTTTTATAAAAATTTTCTTGAACAAGCTGACTTTAGGTGCAATTTGTGAGAAATTTTCAGGCTCTGCAATATCTCACGCTTTACACTCCTCACACCACGGCGTGGCACTACATTTTTACCATCGTGATGGGATCACAAGGTACAATGTTGGCCCTGCAGTACCTCTACAAGAGACAGAAGTCATTGTATTTTTATCGTGATCCTCATAATGTGAGCCGTAGGACAAAAGAAGAATCTTTGTCGGAATGATTGAAGAGGCTATCTGTACAGATAAACTTTGTTGTGTATATCCGCGTCACATAATTTATGTTACAAGTTTTGAGTACCTTAACATTGCTGTTAAACTAAGATGACCTAAATAAATTCAATTATTTCAAAAAGATTAGTGTTTGATCATCACAAAATGCTGTAAGATCTTTGACGTAGTGGCTTATCAAAAAATGAAAAGAGAATTTGAGGCATGGATCAAACTACCAAGGCTCTTAAGTTGAAGGGGCTCCGCCCAGGGCCCGGCACGAGTCCGTTTCTAGACTTTTTGAAAACGAAGTCCCCTTGACTCTAAAACCCCTGCATACTCACTTAGTCCTTCACAAAACCATTTACCTGCTGCGATTTGGAATCGTGATTTCAGGTCAAACTCTTAAAGAGAAATCACAAAATCACAGATTTTGCTCATAGGCCCTACATGGTCACAAAACAGATCAAGATAGATCACGAGCAGAAGAGAGAAGAAAAAGAAGAAAGAAGAATGAAACGAATCATCAAAGTAATGGAAAAAAGTTGGAACTGAAAATGAAATTTCAAAGGGAGAGGACGCAGAAAAATTATGCTGGAGCGCGATATCTAACAAGGCGAATTTCGAAGGAAAAGAGGGTAAAAACAGTGGACAGAGGGCGATATGAAAATGTTTCCATGCTCAGGAATAGATTCCTGACCGGGGCATCCGCCAATGCTAAAGAAATCCGAAACTTGTGTGAAATGACGGAAATATGTGCTCCAGACGAGCTTAGATTGTCTAGTAGCCGTTTGGAGACGGAGCAATTTTGGAAAAAAATACTACTTCACAATAGTTTTCAAACATTTTTGCATAATTCTTCCGCAGGTAATTTTCTATGTATACAGTCCAATTTTAATGTCATATGATTCTGTGTGCGCTGCAAACAAGCAATTTGTTTATTTTAGCTTTGCTGTCAAATCGCGCGCACCTTTAGCATACACGATAGAGCATGTCAATCGCGTAATAACCTGCCCGAGAAGCTTGCTTCAATTAAATGGCGTTTATCCTCGGTGCTCGGCCCCGACTCCGTAAAGGCAATATCCTTTTTGCTTTTTGCTCCAAAAACGAAGCCCAGCCTGCTTCCAGACGATCTGTTCCGGGCCCTAGCTCCGACAGTGGAAAATCACCTTTTCTTGTGTTGAAAAGAAGCACTGGATGACTGCAGAGATAATCTCATGATCATATGTTAACAATAATATTACTAGTTATATTGTGTAATGATACTGTCAAATTTAGAAGAAAAACATGGCACTTCCTTCAACCATGTTGTTGTTCGCCCTCGGGGGTGTTCGTAAGGCAATCTTCTCTAATGCTTTAGAAGAAATGAAAGCTTTGAAATATGTCAAAAGTCCTCCTTTCTTGTAACCTGGGCATTCTAGGCATTCATTCATTACATTCTTTTATTCAATGTGACTAACACCTTTCCAGGCCTCTGAAGACGGTGTGTAACCGAAACGTCAGGCAATAAAGTGTGTCATCGTTAAAAACCTGTACGGCACAGAAGATTAAGTGAAGCTTTGAAATACTTTTGAAAATCTTATATATAAAGCTGAATGTCTGTTTGTCTGTCTGTATTTATGTATGTATGTATGTCTGTACGTATGTTCCGATTAGAAAATTCCATTTCTGAACCGATCCGGACCAAACTTGGCACACATGGGGGTGATCAGCATGCTCGATTACCCCCCTGTGCCAACTCCCAGCCCCGTAGCTCAAATTTTGCAAAAAATCGATAAAATCGACATCGATCGATGACGAAAAGTGGACTGTGACACCCGGGGGGACCCGAAGTGTATGTGTGCCAAGTTTGGTCCGGATCGGTCAAGAAATGGAATTTTCTATTCGGAACATACGGCGGAGCCGGGTAAGCCAGCTAGTTAGAAGTAATCTCCAATTTTCACCTTTTGATATAGTCATTCGATAAGTTTTGCTTTGATATTTGGGAAGCTTTTTCAAAATACTCCAATTTAGGGTTGCAGTTGGCAGCTTAAACATGACAGAACTGATATTCTTTTCAAAACAAATCATTCAAAATTTCGAAGTCCAGAAGGTAATAGGATCTTCATACGGTTGTATGCATTATAATATTCAGGCGAACGCCGACTTAGTTCCATTGGAAAATCAGTACTGAATGTTGGCCACCTAACTTTCTGAATTAGACCAAAACAAAAGGTCATAACTTTCTGAACTCTACTCCTCATTTTACTGCATGCCATTACACGTACTTGATTTCAAGCTTTTGAAAAACAATATCGTTTGGCAAATAATTTCAAGTTTTGATTATTCGATAATCATTTGCTAGAGAAAAAACTTGGGCCGCAGCTTTGTGTTACCGATCCTGTTCAAAACAGCAATACGTTTTTGGTTCAAGTAAAGTAAAATATACTGTTTTTGAAACAGGTGTTAAAAGACTGGCTCTTTTATCAATGTTTTGTGCTAAAAATCAAAAAAAAAACTCTGCGTGTTTTAGTGGCGACGCGATATTGTTAAAGCATTTATTGTTGCTGTTGAATTTTTTTAGAAGTCTTATTTGTTTTCCTTTTTCATTTGTTGAGTTGGGTTGAAAATACTGACTAGCGGGGCTGTCTACGAGCTGAGACCGAGGAGTTTTGAAACAAAGCCCCCGATTGTATTTGCAAATAAATATACAGGGTGTTCCAAAAATATGCCTACAGTTTGATTATTAATAACTCTCTTGTAATGAAGTCTTTTGAAAAGCTCTACACTAGCTTTACAAGCTCCGAGAAACACCATTTTTTAGAGCTGAATTCAACTTAGATTACGGTATGGAGCGGATTACCGACTGCTCTCCATCACTGTAGGATTACGGTGAAAACTTCAAAGAGGGTTTTGAGCCATGAAAGGCCATATTTTGCTTCAAAAATGAGAAAAAGAAAACTGAAAACTCTCTCACTGGGTTAGATAGAGTTGTTGATTCCAAATGTGATACTCGCAACTCATTATAATGCTTCATTAAAAAGTTATGCGAGGAAAGCAGTAGTGGCCGTTTTTTTATGTTCTTAAAAAGTGCGGTTATACCGTCTAGAAAGCTTCGTAATCTTGTATATAGTTGAGTATTGAACTCAGCGCCCATGAAAACCTTCTTGCACAAGTTTTAGCATTTTTTGAAAATTTTGAAAAAACAGCTTTTTTTACAGTGACACCATATGCTTAGATTTTCTACCCGTAATCCTGCAGTAATGAAGAGAGATTGGTGACCTACGCTATACCGCAAATTTGAATTGAAGCCAGCTCTATAAATTGGTACCTAAAGCTCCTCGAAAGACTTCATTACTAGAGAGCATTGGCGTACCGAGGGGGGGGGGGGGAAAGGGCGCCCCCCCCCTCGAGAATGAGTCGCGAAATTTCTGAAAGTTACATGAATCATAAAAATGTGCAAGAGACTTAGTTATACTTGTAAGAAATTAAAATAACTTCTAAAATTTTTTAAAAATTCAATTTAGCCTTATAATTAGAAATTTTTTGGAAGCGTAACGTCAGCCACGCCCCATTCTTCTATAATTTGGGGGTTTGGGCCCGCGAAAACTTTGAGAAGCGTACCAAAAATTTTTTCTGGGTTCGTGGATAAAGCCATGCACCTTCATTGACAGAAAATTTTTGTCCCCTCCCCCCCCCCCGAGCCGAAATTCTAGATACACCACTGCTAGAGAGTTATTAACAATCAAACAGTAGGCACATCTTTTTGGGACACTCTGTATATATTAGGTCATTCCGAAAGTAATTTCGCTTTTTTCAAACAGACGCCACATGTGACAGAACAAAGATTTTTAAGATATCTTGGTAGCATTCGATGCAAAATTTCATCCTCTTTCCAATGGTCATAAAATTATTGCAGCACAGTCAGTGAGCTTTCGGAAAATTACGAAAGTCTTCGATCCATGCTTTTCGAGATGCTCAAGCTTCACAATTTTTCTAAATTTGTACATCATTCCTCCAAAGGAGCCAAAGTAACGATTCAATAGAGCACACCCTACAGGACACAGTCATTTTTTTCTCCTTCACTTATCTCCTCAAAATTTTTTATTAGAATTTTGATTGATGCTACCAATTTCCATTCTTGGTCAACTCAAACATTGTAGAACATCAAACGGTAGGCAGCTCGGGTATCATTCGATGCAGCTTTTTCTACTCTTTCTAATGGGTGTCTTTTTGTTTCCGCTTCATGGAATTTTTGTGGATGAAATCATCATAATTCACATTTTCAAACCCGTACCGGGCTATATCCAACAAATTTTAAGGTAGATTTTTCGATTCCACAAACTCTTATTCGCTTTGCAAAATTAGTGTTAAATCATAACAACATCTTGGAAGTTTTAAATTCCGAAGATTTATTGGTGTTTGATGCGAATGTAACTGACGTAGGCCTGTAAAATTCGATGGTTTTGATGATGAATCTTTTTAGAAATTATGGCGAGATATAAAAACGGGAAAAAAGTTACGCCAAATCCTATAAGGCTTACTCTATCGAATCGTTACTTGGACTCCTTCGGAGGGTTGATGTAAGAATTTAGAAAAATTGTAAAACTTGAGCATCTCAGAAAGCATGGATTGCAGACTTTCGTAATTTTTCAAAAGCTCGTTGAATGTGCTGCAATAATTTTATAATTTTTAGAAAGAGGACGAAATGCTGCATCGAATGCTACTAAGATCTCTTAAAAACCTTTGTTCCATCACAAGTGGTGTCCGTTTGAAAAAAGCGAAATTACTTTCGGAATGACCTAATACATATTTTCGTTTGACATTTTTTAAGTCTCTCACTTTCCTCTACTTGGCTTTTTGCCCATTATTCTATGTGGAGCTGTGCCATAGCCTAAAATAGAGGGCAGAAAATCGAAAGCCTCTATGACCCTTCCCCCTCTTTAAATACTCTTCCACCTCGTTCTCGTTCTTCCTTCCTCTGCTAATGAGACGAACGAATTAATAGAACAACAAGCAAAGAAAAAAAGAAAAAGAAAAAGCCAAGGTAAACATAACGGACACCAAGTGCCCAGCGAAAATGAACGAATCGCTTCGTTCTGCTTAACAGCGCGCTTTGCGACCAGATCAGATAACCCCAC